GATCATCTCCTCATGCCGCTGGAGGGGGACAGGGCATGGGTGTCACCTCTAGTCCTGAAAGGCAGAGCTCAAAACGTCACCCCCAAAGTCCACTGCAACATGAGAGGGGCCTTGTCCTGACCCCTCTCCCTGCCGGCACTGCTCACCTCAGACATCCACGGATGCAGCCACACGTTTCTCACGAACAAGACCCACCACCTTCTCAACCACAGGGGGCTGGGGAGAAAGACAGGCTCAGAGACACACTGGGCTGAACTAGGATGTACTGGGAGCCAGGGGCAAGCAATGGGGTCCTTGGGAAAGGTGCCTCTGGGCACAAACAGGGTCCAGGAGCTTGTGTGGTCCTGCCCAGGAGCACTGGGGGTCCTGCCAAAGAGGCACAGCTGGGGAGGGGCTGGTCCTCGGGCATCTGGGGGGGTCCTGTGGTGTCAGGGATTGGAATGCAACAGGGGCCCTTGGGAAGTGGGTTCCTGGGAAAATTCTGGGGGGCAGGGGTGTTCTCTGGGGAGGCAGTAGAGTGCACTGGGGTGTGCTGGGTCAGACTGGGGTGGCCGGGAGTGTCATGGCCATGTGAGGGAAAGACCTGACTCAGGCAGAACTCCTGGTACCCACCTGAGCCGTCTTCAGGATCCCAACATCCACTAAATCAAACTGGAGAGAGACCAGGAACCCTGGCTGGTCACTGGGATGTCCCTGGTGCCAGCGAGGGATGGGGGGACCAAAGTGCCCCCCAGTTCCCAGACTGGATGCCCTCCAATCCCCCCGGCCCACTCACCTCCCGCAGATCATTTTGGGTTCCTGCCAAGAGTGCCTGGGCAAGGAGAGCAAAGGGTTGCTCAGGATTGGCCCCTGTGGGGCTGGGGGAGGGACACGGGTGTCCCCAGCCCCCCCAGCCCATGGTTGCCCCCCGTCTGAGGGGGAAAATCCCTTCTGCTCCCCCCGCTCCCACTCCACCCAGTTTCACCTGCAAGCCCTGTGCCTGCAGGGACCAGGGTGGGGATGGAGACAAGGAGAGCCAGGGGAATTCAGGACCTGCAGGGAGGGTGGGGGGAGATTGGGGAGGACCCAAAGATGCTGAACTGTGGGGAACTGGGGAGCCCACGGGACGGGGATTGGGGTGTTGAAGGGGCACTGTGTGGGATGCAGGGGAGGGGAAAGGAATTCCAGTGTAGGGACGTGGGGACTGCAAGGGAGAGACTTGGTGGGGACAGGAGGAGGAGGATGGAGGAGGACAAAAACGAGGCGACTGGGAGATGGTTGGGAGTGGAGAGTGAGTCAAGGAATGGTCTTGGGAGGTACCAGGGCAGTGGCCTGGGTGAAAGGCAAAGGTCTGAGGGGAAAGATGGAAAGAAAAAGTTTGGGAATGATCAGTGGGAGAATGTTTGGGGACCCTGGGTAGGACACAGAGCAGATCCTGGGGAGGAGATGCCTGAGGGGACCAAAAAGGATGGGATGGGAGGCCCAAGAGGGTGGGATTTGGGAGCACCACTAAAAGAAAGAGGTGGGGGCCCTCCCAGCAATTGATAGTGGCCCTCCCTTGTGAGGGACCTCCCTGGTCAGGTTCCCTGAGCATCTGGGGCTCTGGGCACAGGGAAATTTGCAGTGGAAGTGGAGTGAAGAGGGGGAAGAGTGGGAGGGAGAAGCTGCAGGGCCCAGCACTGGAGGTCCAGGAGAGCTGAGGATCCTCTGGACTGGGAGAGGGAGAGGCCAAGGCAAGGAGTTTTGGGATCACAGCCCCGATTCCATCCTGCAGCAGAGCTGCTGTCCTGCAGACAGGAGCATCCCCATCCCTGAGCCCACGCCCGTGGCATCAGGGCCTCACCTTGGCATCTGCCAGGGGGCTCAGCAGGATGGTGAAGAGCAGGGCCACGCTGAGCACAGCGACCTTCATCTTCCTTTGGGCCTGGGCAGCACTGGGTGAGGCTGCACAAGGGCAGGAGCACATTTATCCCTGCTGGGACTCCTCCCTGCCCCCTCCCCGAGAGCCCCCGGGGCAAAGCCCGGCTGGGCACAGCCCCCAGCCCTGGCCACAAGCCCAGCCCTGGCACAGAGTCCATCCCGCCTGCGGCACCCATCCAACCACCTTCCCTGGCATCCCTCCAGCTTCCTGCACGGGGCAGCTGCCCCTGGAAGGGCCTAGGCACCTGGGGGTGCCAAGGGGGGTGGGCAGGGAGCTGAAAGTAGCTGCATACCCTGTGGGGACAATCCCACAACAACACAATCCATCCTCCAACGGCCTCCAAAGCCTGATCCACCCATGTCCTCCTGCCCATCCCTTCCCACAGCTTTCCCTCTGGGACACCCCAGAGCTGAGCCAGGCCCCAGACCAGCATGTCTGTCCACAATTGTCCCTGTTCCCACTCCAGCCCCGTGGGGAAGGAAGGGGGCAACCACTAAACATTGTTTGGGAAAATCCCAGCTCCTTAGGTGGGAGAACAGTGGGGGACATGGGCAGTGGGAACAGCCCTGTGACTGGGATCTCCAGGCACTGGAGGCACTGGGGAGCTCTGGGGAATGTTGGGCACCTGGAGACAAGGGGAAGGCTTGGGGAATTGCTCGGCTGTGGCAGTTGCCAGATCCAGCCCACCCCATTTCCCAGCACTGCAGGTCCCAAATGGGTTCAGTTTCCAGCCCCAGAGCAGAGCCCAGGGGGGAAGATCCCCTGCCTTGGCCCTCCCTTTGTCACACCAGGGGCCACCCACATCACTTGGGTCCCGCCCTGCAGAGCTGCCCCACACGGGGTTCCAAGGGACCCCATCCCCAACAAGGCTCCGAGTCCGGCTCTGCCCCTGGCTGGGACTTGACCACAGCTCCCCACAGGCCCTTGACCCCACATGGTGTCTCTCCAGGGCCCTGGGCCCACACCAGCGCTGGCCCTGGGCAGGATGCGGCCATGCAGAGGGACAGGGTGAAGGGGCCCTTGTCCCCAGGCAACCACTTGGAGCTAATTGGGCAAATTGAGTTCCTCTGTCGGCAGGAGGGGTGTTTGTACCTCCCAGCACCTCTGATAAGCCCTGTTTGCCCATGGCCTGAGGCAGCAGCAACAATCCCGGGGCTTTCCAGCCCTGTATGATCTGGGCAGTCTGGGAATGGGGGAGGTCAAGGCAACCTGGACACCTGGGCTCCCCCAGACCTGGCAGAGGAGGGCAGAGCTGGGGACACGGGCAGGAGCAGGTCCTGGGGCACCCCACAGCCCTGGGGCTCCCTTTCAGGACTGGTGGTGACACCCATGCCCTGTCCCCCTCCAGCGGCATGAGGAGATGATC